TTTTGAAGCTGAGTCACTGAGTTGTCTGGCTGGGTTCAGCCTCCCAGAGTGCTGCACTTGATCTTGTTTGACTATTCTCCCCCTATAGAAGTAGCTAATATCTGGGATAACTTTCCATACATCAGACTCTTTATCAAGCACTTCCTCAGGAATGAAGTCCCATATGTTCTCTAAGTTCTAGAATATTCCAAGCTACCTTTAATTAGAGATTCCAAAATCCAGTAGGACAAGGAGTCCATATAATCTTATGTAGATTTTGTAACTGAACTCAGATATGCAGCAATTCTGGGGGCACAGCCTCTATCTTCCTTTGACATGAAATGGAAGGATTGTTACAAAATACATGTTTCATTATCTTCTCTTTTTATGTCACATGACTACCAAATCAACACCATAAAATCAGCTCCCCCCTCTGAGACAGTAAAGAAAAGATGAATGTGCAGAGAATATCCACAGTTAAGCAGATGGACATTTTTACAAAATCAAAGTTCTAAACCTAAAGTGTTTTCTCTCTGACCCTACAATTACAAATTATCAGCTGAAAATTTTGTAAGGTTTAAAAATAGTGTGGACTGGACGAGTAAATTTGATTACTGAGTACAAATCATTTAAATTGATGGTAGTAAATATGTTACCTATGAGTCATAATTATGAATAAAAAGAACAAGAGAAACTGAGTTTCTGGGTACTCGAGATTTGGGTAGAGGAGAAATCTTACAAGGGAGATTTAAAAAGTCTAAAGAGGAGGAATGAGAACCAGGCAAGTCTAATGGAAATGAAAAGGAGCTAGTGTATTTAACAATGAGGAAATAGTCTGTTACAATAAATCTGCTGAGAAGTTGGATAAGAGAAGGATAAACACTGAATGTGAACCATGGGTAGTCAGGACAAGGATAGATTTAATGGCATGGTGGAAGAGAGAGCAAAATTACAATGGTTCCAGATTAATTTGGCAATGAGATAGTGAACAGAGCTCATATAGAAATGCTCCCCCAAACTGAATGGGAACAGAAGCAGGCAATAAAGTATAAGCAGGGGCTGTGAGAGTTGAGGAGGCAACCTTTAAGCTTGAGTGCCAAGAGGTCATCAGAGAAGCCACTATGGTGCCCACTGGCCAAACATACCCTCTCAGACAGAGTTGGAGAAATGAGCTGTGGAGCCATGGCCAGGAGTGGGGGCAGTTAGATAAATTCATGAGCAGGTGGCAGAATTACGTGATTCAGGCCTCTGAGCTTTAAAAGAGGTCCTTTAATAACCTGGCCTACTTTGAGTCTTATTCATCAGGCACAGAAGAACTGTATGAAATATTATAGGACACTAGTGACTAAAGAACTATTTGTGAAACCTTTAGTTACTCCAATATCTCTGCTATTGCTGATGTACTCTTTTATTAGTATTATTAAATCTTTTTATCTGAGAGCTTTCATATAGTCTCACAATGTAACTAGTGTTACCCTAAATGCTTTACAAATATTAACACATTTAATTTCCATTGCATTATAAGATGGGCACTATTATTATCTCACTTTACAACTGAGGCACAGAGAATTTTGTCAGAAGAGTAATTTGTTCAGAACCCATGACTTCAAGCTTTTCACTTAATTACTCTTTTTATATAAAGGTACTTGCTTGCAAATGGGAGTTATGACCTCACCAGATGAAAGGCATTTCAGCCAATGTTTGGCAGGGTGATTCAAGCCAAGTGAAGAACAATGCTTCTGTTAGTTAATTTGGGCCCTCTGTTCTTTTAGTATTGCTGACAGAAACAGTGGATGCAAGCAGCCTTGGGGATGCACCTTTAATGATCAGTTTTCTCTAAATCTACATTAGATGCAGCCATTTACAGATGTTTCTGGACTTACAGTAGGGTTATGTTTTGAAAGTATTTTAAATCAAAATGCACTTCACACACATCCATAGCTCAGCATAGCTTGGCAACACAGCCCACTACAGGGCTGACCAAGAGCTGTGGCTTGCTGACACCACTCAGTGTGGAGAGGAAGTATTGTTCCACATATTGCAAACCCAGGAAAAGATCAAGTTAGGTGTAGTTTCAGCTTGATGTGGATCAGGTTTGCTCCGTAGTTAAGTTGAAAAACTGTAAGTTGAAGTCACCTGTAGCTTAAAAGCTTCACTTTTATGATCATACATATGGTTAGTGAAGAGCTGATTGTTGTTCTTTTGTGTTTCACTTTAGAGGATAAGATACTCATCTCACACTGAGTCCCTTGCCCACTGAGTCCCTTTCCCACTAAGAAGTCTGGAAAGAACACCAGTGAGGAGAATTTTCTCAGTGACGTGGCTGGGCTCCCAAATCTAAAACTATAAATTCAGCATGCCTGGTCTTACAAGTTGATTCTTTCACTCAACATGTTCCTTGATCTCCAGATATCTCAAATCCCTTGACTTTTTTTTTTAACCCTTCATCATACTTCATTTCCAAATGTATCTCCTTACCTGTCAATCTTAAATGTTTGTATCAATTTAATGACCTTCTTGCTAGTTTCCCTCAATTTTTCTTCCTTTATGTATTTGTAGTTCAACATCCTGGAAAATGCTTACTTAAATAAATCTGAATCTCTAAATTCTCTCCTCTTCCAAACAGACTCCTTGAAGATCCCGCCATACAAAATGTGACAATAATATGGATTGAGGATGCTTTGCATTTTATGAGTTGATCCTTTCTGATGGCTCAGGGTAGCCCTTCTCTCCTTATTGCCTCTCTTTATGAAATGAGCTGGACTCTGCATTTCTTAGCCTCACATTATGAAGACAAACATAGTACATCTGTACTGCACTAACTTCCTCCCCACCGCACCACCTTTCTCCAATGTCAGAGGAAGGAGCATTGTGCTTTTTCCATGGTATTTCTCTCCTACATGCTTTACATCCCATATTTCTGTTTCCAGGGTCTGGAAACCATAGCCCAATCTTCCTGTATGAGTAACATTTTCCATTCCATTCATTCCTTCCTATAGCCAAAACATAGCCAAATAAGGAACACAAACACAAACAAATCCATAGAAAATTCTTTACACAGCTCTATTTCCTTTCATCTGATACTTTTCACTGTACAAAGACTATCCACTTTATTCACAATATAAATACATGTTAAAACTTCTAGAACAATCATTGATTATCAAACACTATTCTAAGAACTTTTCATATCTTAACTCACTTAATGAGATAGAATTTTTACTATCCTTTTATACATGAGAAGCTATAAATTGTCAATGGTCACTCAGGGATATTTATTCAGGTTCTGTTATCTCTTTGACCTATTAAATTTTGTAAGAATCTTCATGAGAACACATCTGCTTATTTTTATTGTTTCTAGATTTTAAAATTTTAAGCAGTAAATTTTAAACTTTTACTTTTTTAAACTTTTTACTTTTAAAATATTCCTGAGCTCTATTTTTATAGTCTCTATTTTATCAAACTTCAATTTGTAATAATTTTCAAAGATTTAAATGATTAAATCAGCCACAGTTGAAATCAAAGTGAATGAAATCTGAATAATTTTTCACCCATAGTATTTCAAAGTCTTCAAAATTCAAATTAGTATTCAAAATTATCTTTAAAAATTTAGAATATTCAAAATTAACTCTTCAAAAACAACTAGGAATATCAGTTCTAAATAAAATACTTAAATCATCTGAGATATTAATTTTTGAAAAGTTAATTATATA